CATTTATATCCAACCAGTTTTACATCTTCAGGTGTAAGGACTACTGGTCCAAAAACTTTTCGTTGTTCTAGCGATTTTAATTCTGCCTCAATTGTATCTTTCCATTTTGGCCGATCCTTTCTTTGTTTACATTCACTAATTGACTTTGGTTCATGATCCTCATTATCATTCATCACATTGAGTGCTACATTATAAGAGAAAATATTATCGACGTCGACTTCACTTTGGTCCCATCGTATCCCATTCATAACATAATTAATTAAGATCTCATCATTTTCACATATTTTAGGTACCTGCCTTTCACTAAGAATTGGGACGTTAGCATTGTCTAATGACTCTTCTAGAGTTGCTAACTTTTCTAAATTATTCTCGACTAGGCTATCTATACTTTTAGCTTCTTTTTTCTTTCGAGGATCTTTATCTTTGGAACTAATGGGCCTACCACAGTTCATGCGTATTTTAAAATCATTTACAATTAGTTGTCCATCAGAGACATCAATTTTAATAGGAGTATTAACAGCTAGAATATGTGACTTTGTTACTCTCTTCGAGTCAATAAATGCATCTGATAATTGATTAGCTAAAATTTGTAAATTGACTATCTTTTAAACTTCCAGTTCACATTCTTTTGTGCGAGGATCAAGATGAGATAGTGATAATTCTTTCTAGCTAATGTCCTTTTCCAACTTCTTATTTTCTCCCCTTATTGTTGGAAAAACTGACTCATCAAGATGACAATTGGCAAATCGAGCCGTGAACGAATCTCCTGTTGACGGTTCTAGATATTTTATTATAGCCGAAGATTCATATCTAACATATATTCTCATCCTTCTTTGAGGCCCCATCTTGGTATGTTGTGGAGGAGCAATTGGAACATATACAGCACATCCAAAGGTTCTTAGATGGGAAATATTGGGTTCCTGACCAAAAACCACTTGTAAAAAGGAAGACTTGAGATAACTTGTTGGCCTGATACGAATTAACATTGCTGCATACAAAATTGCATGTCCCCAAGCAGAAATTGGGAGGTTTGATCTCATAAGTAATGGTCTCGCAATTAATTGTAAATGTTTGATCAATGATTCTGCAAGTCCATTTTGTGTGTGCACATGAGCCATAGAATGTTCAACATTAATCCCAAGAGACATACAATAATCATTGAAAGCTTGTGAAGTAAATTCACCAGCATTATCAAGACATATTTTCTTGATAGGAAAATCAGGAAAATGTGCTCTTAATCTAATTAATTGAGCTAATAATCTTGCGAACGCCAGATTACACGAAGATAATAAACAGACATGCGAACATCTTATTGATGCATCAATTAGAACCATAAAATATCAAAATGGTCCGCATGTTGGGTGTATCGGTCTACAAATATCTCCTTGTATGCGTTCTAGAAAAGTGAGAGGCTCACTTTTTAGTTTTCCTGGTGATGGCCGAACAATTAGCTTTCCCTTAGAACATGTATTACATGAGAAAACATTGGATTGTGATATTTGTTGACTTTTCAATGAATGTCCACATGATTTCTCAATTATTTTTCACATCATAATTGTCTCGGGATGGCCTAACCGGTCATGCCAAACATTAAATTTGTTATCATTTATAAACTGCTGGTTTATAATGATGTGTACTTCAATTGTACTAATAATTGTGTAGTACAAGCCAGAAGAAAATGTAGGTAATCTTTCTAGTGTGTATTTTTTACATGAGGTTGACTTTATAATTGCAAGATATTCTTGATTTTCCTCAATTGTTGTTTCGATATGGTATCCATTCTAGCGAATATCCTTAAAACTCAACAAATTTCTTTTAGACTTAGTTGAGTAAAATGCACTATCAATGTATAATGTTGTTCCTCCAGGCAACAATATATTGGCTCTTCCGGAGCCTTCAATTAGTTTTGTACTTCCAAATATAGTCTGAACGTTGGCTTCTTGCATTAATAAAGAAGATAAATACTTTTTATTTCTAAGTATTGTATGAGTTGTTGCACTGTCAACAAGACATAAATCTTCATAATTGTCGTCAATAGGAGCCATTCTTCGTTACAAGGAACATAGTCAAGAGGGGGGGAAAAACAAAATTAATAAAAGGAAAATACTCATAATTTTATTAATTTGGAAAGATAACAACATTAAAAGTAGAAACTTTATAAAAGAAGATGAAAAAGAAAAAATAATAGAAATTTAACTTCATTAAAGCAATTTATTGTTGAACATTCCTATCACCAATCAGGTGATCAATCTTTCCATTAGGATCAGTAAAAAAATCAGCAATATCCAAATGAGTGACATCCATGTTGCCATAATCAGAATCGCCCTCTTCATCAACAAAATTGGTTTCTACCCTTGGCATTTTGCTGTTGCCTTTACTTTTATTTTTAAGCGATTCTTGATAAAGGTCAACCAAATGTTTCGGTGTATGACAGGTACGTGACCAATGATCATTCCCACCACAACAATAACACAAGTCTTCAGAGTGGTTATTACTTCCACTAGTCTTTCTTTTGTGATTCTCATCATTCTTTGTCCTCTTTGAGTAGGAATTTGAACCACCTCGATTATGACCATGACCACGTCCACAGTCAATACGACGGCCTCGTGCACGTCTATGTCCTCGTCCACGACCACGTGATGGTCCATTTACTACTACATTCGCTTCTAGGAATGGAGGGGAGCCCTTGGACGGGATTCATGATTTTTCATTAAAAGCTCATTATTTTGTTCAGTTACAAGAAAGCAAGAAATTAGTTCATAATACTTTTTGAAGCCTTTTTTCACGATATTGCTGCTGCAGGAGCACATTGGATGCATGAAATGTGGAGAATGTACTCTAGCATGTCTTCACCAGTGACTTTTTCTCCACATATTTTTAGTTGAGAACTGATTCTAAATATCGCAGAATTATACTCTAATAGATTTAAAATCTTGTAGGCGCAAGTGTATCCATTCATAACGAGCTTTTGGGAGAATGACAGTTTTCTGGTGGTCATACCTTTCTTTTAAACTGTTCCAAAGAACGAGTGGGTTTTTAATAGTCAAATATTCCATTTTTAGTCCTTCATGTAAATGATGGCGTAAAAAGATCATAGCTTTAGCCTTTTCTTGATTAGATGCCTTATTTTCTGCCTTAATTGTGTCTCCCAAACCATTGGCATTTAGGTGAATTTCTGTATCTAGTACACAAGATAAGTAGTTCTTCTCAGTAATGTCATGAGCCACAAACTCAAGTTTTGTAAGATTTGACATGGTGGCACTACCACAAAGAATATAATATTAAAAAAAAATGCCATGTGTGGAAATTACATTGCTTTTCATTAATGAGAAGAAAAAAAAAGAATTATAAATTACCAAAAGAAAACAAATGAAAAGAAAATTAAATGAGAAAGAGACAAAATTTGGTATATTGTCTCTGCGGATGTAAGCATTTTAAAATCATATCTATCAAATCAAAATAAATGAACAAATAAACAATAAATATTTCTCAAAAATAAATATATACATAGTTTCTAGCCATTTAATCAGATAAAATCAAATTTGAATGACTTATGGTCATGAGCTAAAAATTATATGGCTTCTAGCCATATGTTAGAAAATCAAAATTATGACTTCTGGTCATTAAAATAGAAAAATCAAAATTATGATTTCTGGTCATTAAAATAAAAAAAATCAAAATTATGACTTCTGATCATAAGAAAGAAAACAAAGTTTTATAGCTTCTGATAATAAGAAAAAATAATAAAGTTTTATGGCTTCTGGCCATAAAGTAAAGACAAAGTTTTGTGGCTTCTGGCCATAAAATAAAAAAATTTAAACCATTTAGGAAAAGAAAGAAAAAAAAATACTCATAGTGTAAAAGAGTATAGAGGATAGACGATAAATCATGAAACATAATACATAATAATAAGAAGAAGATCAGAATATTATACTTCCGTTAGAGCACTTGTGCTAATAACGTGTTATGAATAAAGAATGATAGTAGAAAGGAAAATAATATCAATAAGAGAGAGTATTTCTCATGCTATTCAAGGGTGCTCAATACATTATACGTACCTTCTATTTATAGGCACGACTTTACATCTTTGATAGAATTTACAGATATAATAATAAAAGATAATTGCAAATAATGTGGATAATGGGAGATATTGAAGATACTGGGAGATAAAGGAGATAATGATAGATACATGGATATCCATAAAGATATTATATTCATAAGACTTTAAATTTTTTCGATGGAATTTCTCCTTTCCTTGAAAAAAAATCGAAGGAATAAGATTCTTAACACAGCAACTAGATGCTTAGATTCTCCCAAATTCTTAATACAAAAGGCAACTAGGTGATTAGATTCTCTCAGAATCACTTTTAAAAATGTGTTTTTATGCTGGTCAGAACAAAATTATTTTTATATACTTATTTTATAATCTTTAAAATCTTGATTTGTTTTCTATCTAAACATCCCATCACATCATGTTGACTTAACTTGTGAAGGAAAAATCTCATGATAAGAAAGAATAAAATAAAATCACCGTCGGATTCAAGGAAAAGATCTAATTATCAAAAAATATTATTACTTATAGATAATTAAAAAGTGTTTAGATAAAAAAATTAAATCATAGTTTTAAAAATAATTTTACAATTTATCATGACTTGTGAAAGAATATTTTAAAAAAAATATTTTTGATGATATCTAAACATCTTTTTAATTTCAATGCAGAAAATAGCAATAATAATTAGCTATGGTTGCTTTAGCCATTCGGAATTTGATGCTAGAAGCTCACGGGAACAAGAAAAAGGAATTTGATGCTAGAAGGTCATCACATCATATAGGGGGTGTTTGGCTTTTTTGCCAAACACCCCCATTTTTTTTAAAACCAAGGTTTTGGGCAAAACCTTGGTTTTGCCCAACAAAACCTTGGTTTCCAGATAAGCAGGCGGGGGTTCAATTCAGCTCACGGTTTCCAGATAAGGGAATAATTTATTGGCTCTCCCCAACAAATGCTCAACAGTCAGCTCCACGGTGAAGGGAACAAGCACGCGGGGTTCATTCAGCTCACGGTCAAGACCCATTCTTCGGCCTCTTCTCTCCCATTCCGTCGCCCCTTCTCCCACTGCTCTGAAGATTTCCCTTCTCCTGTGCCGTCGCCCCTACTGAAGAAATCGGTTCTCCTGTGCCGTCGCCTTTTGTCCTATTCGTGCTGTGCCGTCGCCTCTTCATCCCATCGGTGAGATCGTGAACCGCTGAGGAATTTCAGTGCCGACGAGGTGTTTCTCAGCCTCCGAGAAGAAGATCGCGTATTGGGTTTCCTGATCCGAGCCTTCCATTTCCGGTATCGTCGCTGGTCAGTTCATCTGAAGTTAGTTCATTCTTCCATCGTCGGCCCTTCCGAAGCTTTGGTCGCCGTGTCTTCTTCCATCGGTCAGATCCAACTCCTTCCGGTAAGCTGTCTTCTTTCGTCGGTCATTGTGGCTGGAGATCTGGTGCATTAGAAATTCTGTGAAGCGTCATTTTTTTCCCCGAAACAGAGGTTCCGTCAGCGTCGTTTTTTTCTTTCGAATCAGATGTTGGTTTCACCGGTTGCCTATGCTATGTTCACTTGTAGAGGCTGATTTTGTTTGATGGTAATCATGTGTGTGTGTATACGATGGGAAACATCTCGGTTGTGACTAGTTGTGCTTCGTGTGTGTGTATGAGAGACAGAGCATTTGGTGGGTGTTGATCAAATTTTCTGTTTGGTCGATTTTATTTCGGAGACAGGACGGTCGAATTTTTTTCTTTTGTGCTTGATGGTTGCTTTTGTAGTGTTATATGTATGGGATTTTGATTATTGGTTGTAGCCAAATTGGGTCAATTAACCGAAATGAATTCTCCTGGATGCTGGGAAAAAAAATAATTATTAATGTGTATGTATACCGTTGGATTATAGAACACGCCGCTATACTTGTTAAATACTATCCTGTTATATCATATCTCCTGGACTGAATGGTATGCCTTTTGGGTTAAATTTGTGATAACTGAACTGTTGTAATTGGTTTATAGCATAATGAATAAAAAAAATGGCAAAGCTTCGTGGGATATAAAAGCCACAAAGGTCTTTATTGACCTGTGTATTGAAGAAGTTGAAAAGGGGGGAAGAAGAGGAACTAGCTTGACAAAGCCTGCTTGGACAAGTATTGAGGAGAACTTTACTGCAAAGACTGGGAGAGTTTATACGAGAATCCAATTAAAGAACAAATATGATACCTTGCGAAAGGAGTGGCAGTTATGGGATAGGCTGCTCCGTGAGACAGGTTTAGGGTGGGATGCCGAAAGGAATACTGTTAGTACCCCTGATGATTGGTGGGAGAAGAAAATAGTGGTAATCATTTAATTTTATTTGAGCTTGTATTTTCTCCCATGTTAACCTTTTTTGTATAATGTATAATATTTTTGGTGTTGAATGCGCAGGAAGTTCCAGGCTATGAGAAATTTAGAGAAAGAGGGCTTCAATTTCGGGCTGAATTGACTCAACTCTTTGGGTCTGTAGCTGCGACTGGACCACAGTCATGGGCACCTTCTTCCATGACACTTCCAAGCGAAGGAGTTCCTGAAAATGATATGGAAGAAGGATCTGGAGATAGTGATGAAATTTTGGGCACCAACTGGCATAAGCGGGGAGTTTAATTCAGTCACATTCAATGACAATAGTGGAGGAAGTGGAAGTGGAGGAAGTGGAGGCAACACTGGAATGAGATAGGAAACCATTCGTGGGGGTAGAAGCACAGGTGGCAGTCGACCTAGTAGCTCATTAGGAGTTAGAAAAAAGGGTGAATCCATGAAGAAGAAATCTACTACCACTATGAAAATAGCGGATCCACTAAGCAGGATAGCTCAGGCAAATGAAAATGATTCTCAGCGTGAACATGAAGAGATTTCAGAAGCACGTGCTAGGAAGCTAGAAGAAGAAGCACGTGCTTATGAGACGTCAATTGCGGGAGTCATGGAGCACCTTAATGAAGTTGATGAAATTGTTGATGATCCTGATCTATTTGGCTGGTGCACAACACTTCTTATGGATAAGCCAGCTACAAGGGAGATGTATGTGGCTCTGAAGAACAAGAGGGAAAAACTACTGATCTTCTTGAAGCATGCAACTAAGGATTGAGACTTCATTTATGTTGCTTAGAAGATGACTGTGATAATTTGTATCTATTTTTATGTGACTTAGAAGATGACTATGATCATTTGTATCTATTTTTATGTATTATGTGACTACTTAATTTTTGTAGGAATTAAACAACTTATTTTCTTGTTAAATGTTAAGTAATTTCTTATCAGGGTTTCTGAATTTTATGTCTATGTGCACAGGACAAGACAAAAAACAAGTTGATCAAGTTGCAGTAGCGGTTGGTGGATATGCTTCTCTTCATTTGTGTAAAGAGCCCCAGCATACAAGTATTTATACAGGCAAGGTATGGGTAAGGGACGTTTTACAAGGCCATTCCAATCGTTGTTATAACATGTTTAGGATGGAAAGTGAAGTGTTCTTTAGTCTTTGCACAGAATTGCAACAACACGGTCTAAGAGAAACTAGAAATGTTAGGATACATGAAATGGTTGCAATGTTTTTAAATACCGTTGGCCATGCGCTTAGTAGTAGGATGCAGCAAGAAAGATTTCAGCATTCAGGGGAGACAATTAGTAGACATTTTCATAATGTCTTACTGGCTTGCTGTAGACTTGCTATTACCAACATCAAACCAAAAGATCCAACGTTTCAGCATTTGCATACAAAAATACGGCCCAGTGGTCGATATTGGCCCTTTTTCAAACATGCTATTGGAGCAATTGATGGAACACATATTTCATGCATTGTTGATGCAACTGAGCAAACAAAATTTATTAACCGGAAAGGAAGAGTGACGCAAAATGTAATGGCGGTTTGCGATTGGGACATGTGCTTCACTTTTGTATTAGCCGGATAGGAAGGTAGTGCGCATGATGCTCGTATATTTGACCACGCCCTCACAACTCCTTCCATGAACTTTCCCCATCCGCCTCAAGGTATATTTTAAATTCCTACAATTTATTTATGCTTCACTGTTAGAAAACAAATTTTATTGACACCAATCATATATTTCATGTAGGCAAATATTATTTGGTGGATGCTGGCTATCCGATACCCATGGGATACCTTGGTCCCTACAGATGTGAACGCTACCATCTTCCTGATTTCCGAAGGTCATCTGCACTTGAAAATGATAATGAGGCGTTCAATTATTTGCACTCAAGTCTACGGAGCACTATCGAAAGAACTTTTGGAGTTTAGAAGAGTAAGTTTGCAATTTTAGGAAACATGCCGAGCTATGACTTTTCAACACAAGTTCAAATTGTTTGTGCAACGATGGCCATACATATAACTTCATTAGATCAACATCCATTTCTGATCCTGGTTTCATTGAGTTTGAACAAGAAGGTTCTTATGTAGAAGAAAATGATGATGATGGAGTTGGATCTTCACATATACCTTCATCAGTAGATTCTTCATCTCACATGGCTCGGCTTCGTGACTCTATAAGAGATCAAATTGTTCACTACATACAAGAATAGTTATGTCCCTTTTATTTTCTTTTTCTTTTCAGATAATGTAATGTGTTGTTAAAAAAACCTACTTGAACAAATATATTTCGTTGCAACCTCTATTATTAAGACAATTAATATGAATTTTTTTTGTGTGGTTATTTAATTTTGTGAAATAATAATATTTTCTTTAGCAAAATAAATCATTTTCCTATAAACATATTTATTTATTTTATTAATACACACACACTAATTTCTTATTATTTATATTATTTATGCCATATTTATTATGTTGCCAAAATATATATTATTAATAAATTTATTACTTCAAATAAACATATATTATGAAATATATCTTATATGTAATTATCATTTAAACTTATGTCCTTTTTAGTAATTTCTACATATCAAAAAGCACTTCTGACAATAATTATCCAAACACTCTCACTTTATCAGAATCACTTTTCCAGAAAATCTATTCTTTCAAAATCTATTCTCTCCAGAATCTATTCTCCAAAAGCTATTCTGCAAACCATGGTTTTGCTTCATCCAAACACCCCCATAAACGGAAAAGTAGGTCCTAGAAAAGCAAAAGGCTCTTTCCACGAGCCGTACGTACCAATATTATTTATTTAGTTATCCAGTTTTTAATATAGAACCTAATTATTAAATTAATTTTACTTTTAAATATAAGATATATTTATCATATTTATCAATTTTTTTAATACATCTATAGATACTCCCTCAACCATAATTAAGTAAGTAAAGGAGGAAGGATTAAGAAAAATGATTATGGTGTTTTATGAAAAACATGTCATATTTCTTATAATTAACTAGCTTATCTAACTTCATTAATCAAATTAATTAAATCAGTGCTATATTAAAGACATGATGGGTATTATTTATAGGCAAGGAACACGACAAGGAGGGGTACGTACTGTTGCGGTTTAGTGTAAAAGAACAATGAGCAGGTCTGAGAGCACTGAAAATGGCGTCATCCTCGTCTTCTACTTATAGGGTTTGGATTTTCTCCGGTGCCTTTCCCATCCTCTTCTCTTTCACTATTCTCTTTTTTCCTTCACAACCATTAGATCAAAACTCCAATGATCCAGATTTAATATTTTATAAAAATAAATATTATTATAAGAATAGATAAATAAATTTAAACTGTTAAAATCTAATTTGAATAGTTAATAGCTATAGACTATTATTATAGAGCAAACTTTTTTTATTTTTTTTATTACGATTGTGACTTTTCATATTAGATTTTAACAGTTTAAATTTATTTATTTTTAATAATATTATTTTTATAAGATGTTAAATCTAGACCATTAGAATTCTGATTCAATAGTTGTGAAGAGAAAAAGGAGGATACTAGAGGAAAAGAGGATGGGAAGGATAGTAGAGCTACTGCGTACAGGGACAACTTTGAAGAAAGACTAAAACCTACTTTCCTACACACACACAGAGACAGAAGAGTTAATATTTATTTTAAATGTAAGACTTTTTTTTACATTTATTATTTTTTTAAAAATTATTCTTATTATTATTCAGTTATAACCAAGTAAGAGAGAGGAAGCGAATCAAGAAACATGATTAAAATATTTTTTTTAAAAATATGTCATATTTATTATAATTAACTAATTTACTTAAATTTTTTAATTTAATTAAATTAGTTAAATAAGTTTTATATTGTAAAGTGGAAGAGTAGTATTCTATTCATGTGACTAGTGAATTTATCCAAATTGTTTATGGTATTGTTATTTAATTGGTTCATATTTAAGTTTCGTAGAATATGAACAAGAGATCTCATATTTAAACACAAAGCTATTTCCATCACAAGCAACTTTGTCGATGAATTTCTCTGAATTTATAGTATTCAAGGTGCAAGAAGGGTGGATATAGTTGAACTGAAGGATGATCATTCAGTACTGAATATTAGATTAAAAATAATACTATTTTTTTAACATATAAAATATTTTTATCTAACACATTAAAAGAGTGTTTAGTTTCTCCTAAAAGTGTTTTTTTAAAAAAATTTCTCTTATACTTATTTCATATATCATAAAATTATTTTTAAAATTATAATTTATTTTTCATCCATATGCTCCCTAAGAATAATAATTAGATTTTTTTTTATCATACGTAATACTCCTCTTATTTAAAGACTTATTATAAGCATTACTTTCTCAGATTGTATTATGCAAAATTTTATTTAAAAACTTATTACAAGTATGTTGTGTCATGGAGATAAAAAATTATTAATTTATAATTAAAATGTATCTAATTGTGAAATGAAATATGTTAATTTTTAGGATTTTATTTTGATGAAGTTTTATTCAAAATCTTATTATAAATGTGTCAAGAAGACAAAAAATTATGAATCTAGAAGTAAAATATGATAACTGTGAAATGAAACGTGTCAACTTTCAATATTAGATTGTGATCAAATTTTATTTAAAGACTTATTATAAATATGTTATGGCTATAAAAGATTATTAATTTATAATTAAAATGTGTTAACTTTGAAATGAAACATGTCAATTTAGATTTTTTTTTTTGTTTTAGTGAAAGAAGCATTAGAATTATTTCATGAAATTTTTAAAATCCCTCTTTGGATCATATGATCTGACCAAGAGTTTGATAAATTTAATGATCCAAATAAAATTTGAGTTATTTAAATTTTTGTAAGGGATTTTCTCTGTCTTTTAGATTTATCATTGTTTTAAAACTAATTTATTTAACTTATAAATTGATACATAATCTAATATTATATAGAAATATTTTAAAAAGATTAAATCTTATTATATCAAACTTAAGTAATTATTAAATTTTTTTAATCTATCAAAATTAATTAACTGGCTCAATGAAGAAAAGCACTTGCCAAGTTGATGGGATTTGATTTTATTATTACTACCTCACTCCCTAATATAACAGTTAAATAAGTAATTAATAAAAAATAAAAAATTCAGTTAATTATAATAAATAAATATTTTTTAAATATAGTTATTAATTATGTGTATTGAAATTATCTTTTGTTCAAAATATTTTCACATGCCGAATTATCATAGGAATCTTAGAAATAAAGTGAGCAGGGATCGTATTCCATTAACTTTTATATAGCACCAGCAATTAAAGATCGACACGTCATGATATCCGTCAAAGGACGAGCTCATCGAGCAAGCAAGAACCACGTTCCTTCCCCTCCGATCTCACTGCTCTGTGTATGTAATCACTGCTCACGAATTAGCGGTGAAGCAAAAAAAAGAATTGGTTTGATGGCATTGAAAATTGGTTTCAGAGCACCAAAAGCAAGAACTGGTCTGAGATCACTGGGAATTTCTTAGAGAGAACCAAAAACGTAAAGTGGTCCGAGAGCGCTCAAGATTTGTTAGAGAAAACAAAAAATGTGAAGTGGTCTGAGCACACTAAAGCTTTCTTAGACAAGACAAAGAGCGTGAATTGGTCTCAGAGCACCAAAGATTTGTTAGAGAGCGCCAAAAATACGAGCTGGTATGAGAGCGCTAGAAATTTGTGTGAGAGTGGTAAGAATTTGTTAGGAAGGGTGATCGATTTCGTGAAAGGAAATGTTGAGGTTAGGCATTTGGTTATCGGAGGTGTGGATATTGGCCTCGTCGCTGTTGTTATTTGTGGGTGTAGATCTGGTAGTGGTACTAATGGCAGAAAAATTATGAAAGCTCCTGGTGGGAATGGCCGAATCATTTACAGTGGCCCCTTTGAAAGAAACCCTAGAGGCTATTTTCACGGCCAGCGCAACAAAAAGACTTGAAAATCAAGCAGATCCGCATCAAGATTAGGCCAGTTGTTTGGAAATAAGATTTAATCACACTATTTCTCTGTAATGGCTTGCTCTATTTTCTCACTATTTCTCTGTAATGGCTAGAAGGAATAGGAGGAATAGGAACCTTCCAGTTTCTAGCTTTCTGCTTCAGATCATGATCATCATCATCATGATAATGATGGTAATTCTTGTGAGAACAAAGAGATGTATTCTCCTTTTTCTTTTTTACAGCATATCTGATGGAATAAGACCATCCATCTTCATCTTCATCGTCTGATGCTTCCTACCAGTAAGGTGTATCACATTCACAGTCTCGACAACAGAAGAAGTTCTTAACTGGCAGACCCAGAATGCAATCAGCCAGAATAGAACCCTGACAAAGATTGATTCAAAGCTTAATCTGTTGACTCTTAGAATTGATACTCTGACGAGCAGGCTTGACCAGGTCTCTAATCAAGTCCAACAGCTTTATATGACTCTGTCGCCTCAGGCTTATCAACTGGATGCAGATTTAAAGCTATTTATCGAAAAATGATACATTGGACCAGAATTTATCAGGAAAGAGCAAGAACTATCACAAATCTGAAAGGATTTGTAAAGAATCAAGTCAGACATCGCGAAGGATCATTCACAAATCATCTATGACCCTTATCCATCTTACCCCTCTAGTTTCCAACTTCCTTCATATTCCACATCACCTCCTTCTTACCCCAAAGAATCTGACTACAGCAAGGTTTTCAAAATGTCTTATCCTATTCTAAGATAGTTGAGAAAATCCCAACAACCAACTCTTCCACCGGTCCAACCAAATCCTCTTCCCAGACCTCCAGTAAGACCACCTCACTTCCCTTCATCTGGAAAAGACTTTTCCACCCATCATCCTCATACACTAAACCTATTGAACCAACACCATCCTCTCAAGGAGTTATAATAAGAACTCCACCATCATCTCCACCAAAACAAACTTTTCTTCCAGACAAAGAAAAAGGAAAAGAAGTTATTCATCCAAACAAAACCATAGCCACTTTCCAATTCTTGAATAAAGATCAATCATCAACAGATGGAAGCTTTGAAACTGAGTATGATCCTTCTATTGAATACAATTCTAACTTTGATTTTGAGACATATCATGCTAATATCTCTAAGGTAGCAATGGTCCAACCAGGTCCTACAGTTGAAGATTCTTTTGATGAAGAACCATTTGTCCCTCATACATCTGAGCCAAGAAGAATAGACTATAAACCTACTACAGGTCTGTGGTTCACTTTTGATGACCTTCCTCCCAAAAAAGGGAGAGATAGACTTCATGAATTTGGCACATGGATTGACCTGCAGCTTACCAGGCATGATACAAATCTTGAGGAAGTTCTTATAGAATTTCTCTCAAGACTGACAGGAACATTAAGAGAATGGTATCAAAGCTTCAGTGATTACCAAAAGATAGCAGCAGCCAGAGTTGATAATACAGGAACTCTTCTGGGACTCATTCACAAGGAATTTATTGGTGATTTTCAGATCATTGACAAAAGGTATCGCCAAGAATACTTTGAGATGAAATGCTGTTCTTTAGATAAAAGAGACCTGCAAAAGCATTTCCAGAGAATGTCTAAAAAATACTACATGCTCGAAGGAACTAATGATGTCAATCTCAAGCATACTTTTATTGCCTCTCTCCCCGATGAACTGCAACCAGAACTTCACAAAGCTATCAATACACTCCATAGAAATATGTCTGAGACAAGCTCTGTGAACAACATAAATTCTTCAAAGGAATATTGAAAGGCCAGTCAAAGTTGAAGCATGCTTGCAAAAAACCCCATTTGAAGATAAAGTGCAAAGACAATAAAAATTGCTCTTGTTCTACCAAGAGAAAATCTCATTATCATCGATTCAGATATCTAAAGGGTTCTTATTCCAGGAAAAGATCCAGAAAGCCTTTTCTGAGATACTTCAAAAGGCGCAGGCCTTATTCAAAGAAATCTAATAGGTGCTATATATGCAAGAAAAAAGGACATTTTGCAAAAAATTGTCCTAACAAGACAAAAAAAGATGTGAAAATGTTGGAACACTTGCAGACTATTCTAATGATCAATGAAGATGAAGATATTGAATCTGTTATCGAAGAACAAGATGCTCAGGATGAAGAAACTGATTCTGAATCTTTATCCTAAGATGATGATCCTCAAGGGTATTTATATTCCCTTGAACAACCCGTGCATCCATCTTTCTTTGGTTCCTTGGCTTCTCAGCCAGACCACAACAAAGTTACTTCCAAGCCAAATGTCAAAATTCATATCTTTCCAGGAAGGTATGAAAAGCCAATTCCTATTATTGCTTTCATAGATACTGGAGCCTGCATAACCATCATGAATCCTGATATCCTTCCTTCTGAAGCATGGATCCCTTGTGATCAATCCTTCCTTACTGTTGATTCAAAAACATTCAAGATCGAATGGATTACTTGAAGGAAGATTGGTATTCAATTCTTTCCAGGATGTGTTCTATAGATGAAAGTTCTTGGTAGTGATCTCCCTGGGAAAGATATCGTTATTGGATTTGATGCTTATTATCATACTAGGAATCTTCAAGTACTGCCTAAAGGAATTAGATATAAAATTTTTTTTAGTGCATATACTGAAATTCCTAATTTCTTTGAAATCCAACAAGCACCACCAGGGTATGAAAGCATCAGAGATCATCTTCTTAAGTTTTGTGCTGATAGTTATCAACAATTCTCTCATCCATTTCTGTTATGGAAAAATCAAGAGTTTTTCATAAAACTCCCTTTCAAAAAAAAATGAAGATATCAATTCTACAAAAGCTTCTCATCCAATAATGAATCCAAAAGATCTCAAGCTCGCCAAAGAAGAATGTATTGCACTTCTCAAACAAGGCCTTATTGAACCAACCAAATCTGATTGGGCTTGCCAAGAGTTCTATGTTGAAAAAAGATTAGAAATGAAAAGAGGGAAGAAAAGGTTAGTTATTGACTATAAACCTCTTAATATTTTTTTTCAAGATGACAAATTCCCTTTACCAAAGCCCAGTTCACTTACAGTCCATCTTAAAGATGTAAAAATCTTTTCCAAGTTTGATCTTCAAGCAGGATTTTGCCAATTGGGTATCTACCCAGAAGATTGACCCAAAACTGCTTTTTGTATTCCAAATGCCTAGTATAATGGACTGTTATGCCATTTAGGCTCAAAGTCGCCCCATCACTATCCCAAAAGGCCATGACCAGAATCTTTAAACTTATGCTTGATAACCTCCTCATTTACATTGACAATCTTTTACTCTTCTCAAAAGATGAGGATTCCCATAAGCTCTTATTGACCCAATTCTGGGAAATAATTGAAAAATTTGGGATTATGTTGTCGGCAAAGAAAGGAGAAATAGGTGTCAGACGCATAGAATTTCTAGGAATGAATTTTGGAAATGGTCAATATCATTCTGGACCACATATTGCAGAAGAATTGCCCAAATTCCCAGACGATAATCTTACAGCAAAGCAAATCCAACAATTTCTAGGAATTATTAATTATCTCAGAGATTTTATGCCTCATGTGTCTAATCATACCAGCCAGCTGTCCAAACTTCTTAAAAAGAACCCTCCCGCATGGGGGACAGAGCAGACCTTAGCTGTCAAGACCCTCAAAAGAATTGCACAGCAAGCATCTCCTTTAAAGATCCTTGACAAAGGACTGCGAATCCTCCAGATTGATGCCAGTGATGACTTTTGGAAAGCTGTCTTAATTGAAGAAATAGATGGAAAGAAATTCTACTGTGGACATGCAAGAGGGCAAGAGGACAATTTAAGGAGTCAGAGAAGCATTATCATGCTACCTACAAGGAGATCCTTGTAGTTAAAAGAGGAATCGAGAAGTTCGGTTTTCATCTCAGTCCTTATCAATTCAGAGTAGAAATGGACAATACATCTTTTCCCAGAATGCTTAATCCCAAGGGAAAGAATTTGCTAGATAGCCAGTTACTCTGATGGAAAGACTGGTTCCCTAGCTATAAATTAACTGTCCATCATCTCAAAGGCCACCAGAACATCATAGTAGATTTCCTCATAAGACCTCAGAAAGTTTCCCAACCTCCAAAAGTCCTGTCACTCTCCAAACACCAACCTCTTTTCATCCTAACCATATTTGAACTAGAAATACCTCACAGAATGAGAGCCACCATTTTCCCTCTTGGATCCTGTCCTGAATCTCCAGCAGATGTCCAAAACCTTGCCAGAAGCACTATGTTCTACTAGCTCCACCGTGTTCTTGTAGATACTGGAATCTACCCTTACCCTCAGCACTTTTATGCCGATGCTCCATACCTCACTATTCCCATCATCAAGGGACCCATACCAAAGGAACTTTTATGGTACATTTGGTCTGTCTCAGCCAATTATACTTATGTCATAGCCTTTTCAGTTGTAGTAGTACATGATCACTTGAATGACTTCAGAAATGAAAACTCTCCTCTCACCACACTCTTTGATATGCTTGCTCCTCTTCCCTAATGGAGAGGAAAACTTTGGAAAATTCTCAAGGATCATAATATCTGGGACTTGCTATCTCCCAAACAAAAGAGATTTTTCTGTTTGTATACCTTTTTCAGAAACTATGGTATAAGTATTGACCAAAGGCTTTACATAGACAACTGTCTGATTCTCCAAGTTACCACCCCCTCATGGCCAAGAAATGAAGAATTGTTAATGGAGAAAATTGGGAAAACATTAACTGCACTTAATCAGCCTGACATGGGAGAAGACACTTCATGTTTTTCTCTTGCTCCTTTCTCTCCAAGTTCATTGTCAGCCAGCAGCACAATAATTGAAGAATTCCAGAGAGATTTCATCATGAGTTTTGTCAGACCTCTACCAAATAGGTCACAAGTCCCTCTACCAACAAAAGCCTCCTAAGACCTTTATGTTGGAAACTCACAGATTCAACTCACTCAGCCTGAAAGACTTTATCTCCCTCAACCAAGTTTTTAGTCACACCTCTCATTCATTGCAGGAGAATCCCAGGATCCTAACCAAGATGACCTTGACCCAGAACTCGAAGACTCCTATTGTACAAGGA